AAATAAAGAAAACGCATTGAATGAGAAGGTGTGTCCAAACTTTTGGCCTGTACTGTATATATATAATATATGTATATGTATGTATATGTATATGTGTGTATATATATAATATAATATATGCGTGAATGTCTGGTTCATTTTCTTCTTATTCATAAAATGATTCACTGTCTGCTGCTGTTCTGCAGGCAGCGGCGGCCAAATGTCTGAGGACACAACCGAGCTGGAGCCTCTAGATCTGGTGTGGGCCAAGTGTCGGGGATATCCTTCCTATCCTGCTCTGGTAATTATTCCCTTACTCTACCTAATATCACTGACACACCAACTAATATGAGCTGTCAACAGGTGGTGTTGCTCATAAAGTGATAATTCATTCCAAAATCAGAAATACACGTTTTCCTTTCCTTTGATGTCTGCCTTCTCTCTGAACTTGTGGTGCTCAATGTGCCAAAAAATATATTTAAAAAAATTCAACAGCAATGTCTCTTTCCAGAAGTCATGACCTGGTGTGTATTCAAGAAAGCACGTTTAGTGAAAAGTATGAATTAGTTCTAACCGCCAACCGTATCAGTGCACAGAAGGAAGTGTGCATCTGCTCATGTTGTTAAGACTTGACAAAGGCCCTGTGCCGAAACGTTGTCCTAAATAAAATTCCTTTTTTACTTGGAGCTGAGTGTGCGGCGTTCCCTTTTTTTTTTTTCAAACATAAGATGTTAACATTAATGGCGTCCACCTCAGCTGAGCGGTTATGTTACCTAGCTCAGTGATGCTAGGTGAACTAGCAGTAAATGAATGCTTCCCTCTAGGCAGTGATATGGTTGGTGGGTGTAGTTTGGTAGAAAGAAAGTAGTTCCTACATGAAATTGCTCACACAAGGTCTGTGGAGTTTTTCCAAAAGCATTTTTTGGCTCTTTGAGCACTACAAGCCAAGTGCTACGTAGTTCCATTATATTAGAGAGAAGGCGGATATCTCTACCGCCGATATATTCAACACTCTGCAACTCACACCAAAACAATCTATACTGATAAACAGCACTGCAGGTAAAAGGGAAATATGTATTCCTGATTTTGGGGTGAAGTGTCCCTTTAAATACTATGGGCAGCTTTCACCAAACCACATTTTGAGAAATTCAAATAAGTGAGTTTAACAGTGGTATAACCAAATCTAGAAACAAAAATCAGGAGTTCCCTAGGACCACAGAACAGCTGTGTGAGAGTGCAGCGTTTGTAACAGACCTAAATTCCTTGTTAGACTGACTGTATGTTTGTTCCAGATCATCGACCCAGACACGCCCGAGGAGGGCCTGCTGCACAATGGGGTGCCTATCCCCGTCCCACCCAAAGATGTCCTCTGTCTGGGGGAGCAGAGACAGGAAGAGACCAAGGAGAGGCTCTACCTGGTGCTCTTCTTTGACAACAAGCGCACATGGTGAGGGTCAAATGTCAAGCTATCCCACACATTCGGTTATTTGTGGCGGCCTGCCACGATTAAAAGATCTGCCGCCACAAATAGATTTTCTATTTTTGGAGCTGGCTTGTTCATTAGGAGCACTATTGGAATTTATATACCGTTCAGTTATTCATAGCACTGCATTGGGACACAGAGCACACTCGGGGCAGAGACGGAGCCGTGTCAGTCGCATTTATAATGAAACCGAAATGCTCATTCTGATAGGTCTAAAAGTTTGCATTCACTCACAGCAGCTGGTCCTCATCTGTCAGTAAGATCTGATCCGCTGTGAACAGATTAACAGAGCAATTGTCCAGCCCACGAGTCAAACTACTGCTACACCCTTTGTATTGCCCACATACACACACACACACACACACACACACACACACACACACACACACACACACACACTCATTCTGTGGGAAACACTGAATGTATTGCAGTGCTTCTCCTGCCACAGTGAGGTCTGAGGTCATCTACAGACCCACATGGAGCAGGTGTTTTTAGTTAAATGCACTTTTCCTGGGCGAACTGTCCAGTCAAGGAGGATCATAACTGCCAGGCCAAGCTGTTTATTAATGTTGAAAAAAACAAGTGTTTAAATTGTGAACAAAACAAGCATATCTTATATATTGTAGTTATATGTATTTATGTAAATTGAACACACAGATACATTGGTCTAAATCATACAAACAGATCCAAAGTAGTGTTGATCATCAGTGTGTCTCTTTGGTTCTGTAGGCAGTGGCTCCCACGTGACAAGGTGACACCCTTGGGTGCAGATGACACGGCAGACAAGCTGCGCATAATGGAGGGCCGCAAGTCCAGCATCCGCAAGTCTGTCCAGGTGGCGTACGACCGCGCCATGATCCACCAGAGCCGAGTCAGCCACAGCCAAGGCTTTGTGGCCTCCAACTATCTGTAGAGGGCGATGGTGAGCCCTATGTGCACCCACAGTCAGCCATTATGCATTTCTCTTTGGTCTTAAAGCAGCAGGTGGGCTGAGTCCCACTGCGAGCTGAATTAGTATTCACACTGTGGTCTGAAGAGGTTGCTGCACAGCACAGAGTCCCGGACTGTTGTTCGTTAACCAAACCACTAGTGTGTGACACACAGAGCGGTGGTGTTTGCCTTGGTGTCATTGTGGATGTGGAGCTCCAGATGTGAATGAAGTTACCTTTAGGTCCCACGTTGCTGCGGTCGGTAAGCGTTAATTCCCTGTTCAGGGGTGTATCGAGGTATCCGCTTACTCCACCTGGATGTGTTGAGGCTGTGTGTCTGGATCAAATGTAAAAGAATTCCCCCTCTATTTTGTATAATGCTACTGCCAAGGAATCAAATTGTCAGAAAAGAGATTTGACATATTTATATGAAACCCAGAAGACGAATGAATGGAACACTGCCATCTTTTATACAATAGCTTTTTACATTTTAATCTTTTACAAAGACACTTGTATATTATAAAGGCACACTTTGTGTACATATGTATGTGTATTATTAAACCCAGTTTAATTTAATGTTGCTGTTTTTAAAATGCGTATTTCAATCAACCCACAAGGAGCAATGCGAGGCTATGTATATTTGTGGAGATGAAATAATTCCTGACTTGCTGCAGTGTACTTAGCTTGTCTTTGATGTAATTTCATTGTGCTGTGTGTGTGTGTGTATGTGTGTGTACATTCAGAGCATACAACACAATGAGCCATTGTTCTTTATATTTGAATTCTCTTTTTGATACAGAGAGAAATAATTTATTTATGGAAGACAGAACTATAGAAATAAAGTTATATTGGTTAAAGTGGAGAATGAAATCTTATTTAAAACAAATGGAGTGAGGTTTTAAAAACATGCAGCCAACATTTTTAAATGTATGAGTTCACGTTTGGTCTGATGATAAATTAACCACAAGCAATCATCGCCACATCAGTCACTGTTGACCCCCCAAAAGATTCTATTTATTGTCCAGAGCCCCATTTTATCAAATGGAAAAATACACCTTTATAAGCTTGTACTACCTGCATTATTTTACCTGCTCACCAAATATTTTGTCTGAACCAGTATTTCCACATTTTGGGAAATAAACGCTCTATTAAAAACCTTTTGGGACATTTAACTGTAGTTCTGTGTTTTTTCTTTTAAATGTGAGGGCTCATTCTTTTATTATTTAATGATATTCACTTGGAAAATATTTAACTGCTTCACAAGCAAGGATTCAGTGGCAGGTTACACAAAACACCTTAAGACTTTCCTTAAAATCCTAGTTAAGGTTAACTCATAATAAAATCAGTGGCACAAAACACCCTTAAGTCTTCTTGTGGTTTCCTGAAAATATTCACAGAAGTATTTATGGTTTTCTCCTTGTCTTGATCTTAAACTTAAGGAATCCCTAGACTGTCGCACAAAAGACCTAAGAAACCAAAGCAAGGTTAAAAAAAAAAAAAAAAAAAACTTAAGGTATTTCTGACTCTATTTTAACTGTAACTTGACTGAGTTTATGGTTATAAATGAAAAAATTAACACGCCCCGAGAAGAGTGTTCTGCAACCAGGGGAACTGAGTGGATACGCTTCTGATTTTACACTATAGATTTGACTGAACTAATTTTCATTGCAATTTCTTTCTATAGTCGTTTTCTATATTCTGGTATTTGGGGATCAAATTTACTTTGTAGGATGTACTTTCTATGATTGTATTCCTTCAGGAGCGTAATCTTTTCCTCCAATCAATACAGTCTTCTTGTCTTCTGCCATTTTTTCACTAACTATAAGCCAACTTTGTGAGACGATAACAGGCGTCACAATCGTGAGACCAAGCAAACAATCTCCATGGAAACTTGTACCGCTGTGAAATCTCTTTAATCACAGCAAATGAGCTAACGTTTTTCCTTTAAAAAAAAAAAACTTTTAAGGGATTTTGTGCGATTGTCTAAGTCCCTCAGCTAAGGAAGAATTAAGCCTTCAGTGTCCCACTAAAGGAGAAAAGGTGTTCTGTGCAACCGGTCTCAGACCATTAGCTTATAATCTCTGGAGGAGCTAACAAGCATGGTGAAAGGGATGTCCATTTATTTCCTGAGGGTTCCTGTAGATTCTTAAGAAGTCTTAAGAGGAGCTGAATTCGTTAATCAAAAAATGATTGCTATAAAATGTCTTAAACAAATCTCAAAATAATTGGTAACATCTATATTCCATGATTAATTTACCGAATGCCTCTTACATTGCCGTTGCAAAGATCAGGATAGTGGAACCAACAACATTCATAATTTCTTCCAGCGAGGATGCTGAGAGGATCCACTGTTTGCTACCTAGCTGTCACTGTACCCTGGATGACATGTGGAAGAGCAAATTCAATAAAAGAATTAGTTATTTAATCAATATTTCGCAACATAACTCATTAATTTTGGTTATTGTAAAATTGGCCTTAAATTTCATTCCCAGTGGTATTAAAAAAGCTTCAATAAGTTTTAAATGTAGCTTGCTTTAAGCTGTAGGAACCCTGTCCATCTTTAGTCAGAAAATTGTCTTTTCCACTGAATAACTCCATCTAGCAGACAGTTTGCATTTTAGTTTTTTATTTTACCAATACTGGGCATAGTGAAAAGTACTGTGTACATGTTAGCTGTATACAATAATTATAAAAAAAGACCTATAAAATAACTTTTGTCCCAACAAACTGCAGCAGTCCACAAACATTTCAGTCCCACCATAAGCTAACATTCAATCATGACTGCAGGTCTGAATGAACTGACGTCAACTGAGAATATGGCAGATTTGTGTCTGAGACCTAAGAATCAAGGTGAAAGCTTGCATTAATAAAAGGTAGAATTTCTCAGTTCATTCAGGACCCTTTAGTCCCTCTATTTAAACATAAACCTCCTCAGAGATGATAGTGGTGGTTTTCACCATTTCCGGCGTGTCCTCTCTGTCAGTGTCCAGGCTGCTGTTTTGTCAGGAGGAGGTAGTTGTGACGAAGAGTCCGTAGCTCCGTCAGTCTACCAAGCAGGCTACCAAACCGCTGCGGTCCTCCTCGCGCAGCTCCAGCCTGGGCTCCGCACACTCTGGACAGCAGGTCCAGGATCAATTCCTGCATTTTCTCAACACAGCTGGCTGCCTGCAGGGACGCTCGGTCTGCGGGACAGGGGACACAGAAGGACACTGCTGATAACACTATGACAAAGATCTGTTTGTGTTTATATCCAAAGATGAACCGATGTTTTCAGGTTGCCAAACAGCTATGGATTGATACAGCGGTCAGACCCCCTGCCTCAGAGCAGGAGAGCTGCAGAACCATTTTAGTCTTGATATAGTCTGTGGTCAGACCCTTTGAGACAGATTGAGTCAGTCATTCAGAGGCATCATTTTACAATCACAACCTGCCGAAGAGCTCCAGATAGGTTTATAATAATTATTTACAGTTGCATGGAGCATTTGCATATCTTAGCTCAGCAGCTGATTGGATTATTTCAGACCAGTTTGTACAGATTCCAGAGGCCATATTTATAAAGCTTCCCAGAACAAAGAGTTACTCCCTGTGTAGAAATTCTAAAAAGAATCTCAGAATCATGACTTCTTCTACAGTTAATGACCTAATCCTAGCAAAGATTAAGTTATTCACAAAGCATCTAAACCCTCAAGAGGCCTCCTGAGGTGAAAATATGTAAGGAGCAAGGAGGAAAACTTTCGTGGGATAAATGGTGTTCTTCATCCATGGAAAATGACAAACATTGATTGAATGGGGGCCACATTTAACAAGAGTAAAACTATATCAGCATATCCACTGACAAACTCTCACACAACTTGAGATGTATAATCTAAGCTTCATTTATCCAGTGGTATACTCAGTACTTACCAAACACATGCTTTTTCAGTCAAACCTTAGGACTGGAGTCTGTCTCTGACGACAATACATAAGTTTCACCTTCAGATCAGTTTTAAATGTGTGAATGGGTGAATGTGACTCGGTAGTGTAAAAGAGCTTTGAGTGGTCAGAAGACTAGAGAGGCCCTATACAAGTGCAGACCATTTACCATTTAGTGAAAATGCATGTGTTTGGGTGCTGAGCATACGACTGGATAAACCAGACTTGGATTAAACTGCACAAGTTGTGTGAGAGTTTGTAAACAGATGTTTTGATATAGTTTTTTTTTTTTTTTTAAACATGATCCGCAATCGATTAAAAACCAATATGTTCAGTGGTTTCCGTCGAGTCATGTGAGAGAAACAAAATTTTTTCACAAGTTCTAGGTAACACAGCATGACTGGTCATTTTGTGGGTGAAACATTTGAGAGCTTTGAGAGGCTTAAGAGTTTCTTAAGCAGAGGAGAAAATGACAGAAAGACAAAGAGGTAGGAGCTCTATAGATATATTCTCCAAATGCTGAATGACAGTGGCTTAATGACCTCTGCCTCTGCTTATATAGACTAGCCAGCAATCACAGAAATAGATAAAAGCTGATCAACCAATCACATCTGTTAAAAGAATGTATAATACCTAGCAATGCAGTCAAGCACAACTCCTTACTGAGGTTAAATGGATGGTCTGAATATTTTGAAGTGGGGCTGTATGGAGTACTTATCCATAGTCAGTGTATTACAGTAGATGTCTGTTGGCATGCCCCCAGTTTGGAGAAGTGGGGGGAGTGCTAACATGGAAGTTAAGCAATGTACTGCTGTGGAGGGGTCAGCAACAAAATGTGTTTTAACTCTGTGTTCAGCAATGTTAAATCACTGTTTTTCTCAGTGGAGTCTGGCTTTGTAGAGAGTGATGTAATGGCTTCTTTACCATTGGAAATCACTGCTGGACATTAAGGTAAAGCAGCAAAAAGTCTCTCAACATAGCATACACTTAAACTGATACTGATTTTTTTTAGGTGGCTAAAATTAGGGCCCGACTGTCGGGCCGATTTAATCGGCCGATTATAGCCATTAGAGAATAATCGGCAACCGGCCAAAAGTTGGCCAATTGACGCTGATGTTAATACTTATATTTTCATCACTAATAAAATGCAGGGAATATGGTGTTTTTTTCTTAGAAATGATGTCCTTGTGTTACTTTTTGAACTATAACCTACCTCTGTTAAATTGGCAATAAGAAGAAGAACTCTGGTGCTCTGAACATACATGTGAATGTCTTAATTCATATAGACTTTGCATGATTATTTTATTTCCCAGAGGTTTACTGCCTTTTTGCACATCATATTTTTGATTTAGTTTGTGTTCAAATTTTTCATATGCTGCTTGTTCCACACAATTTCTGATAATAAAAGTATTTGAAAATAGTTAAATGTTCTTCCTTCAATTTATATCTTTGTAACAAGTGTTTGAACTATATTTAAGCCATCAAAAGCAGGTATTTCGGGGGTTTTTAAATTGAAAAACGTAAAAATTTAATCGGCCGATATATCGGTTATCAGATTTTTTTATTCCATAAAAGCGGAATCGGCATCAGCCCCAAAAAATCCCTATCAGTCGGGCCCTAGCTAAAATACATTTTGTTGCTGACCCCTCCACAGCAGTACATTGCTTAGCTTCCATGTCGGACTCCAGGCTGCTTATCCAAACTGGGGGCATACTGACTGACATCTACTGCATGTAACACACTGTACCCCCTGCTACCGCACTTTAAAAAATCTGAACTATCCCTTTAAAGTGTCCCTTGCTCAGAGATCTGGTCTGAGAATTTTCCTAAATCATTTCTATACTCGGGGTCCTTGCAATACAATTTTCGGCTAAGTTAGAAGCTCTCTGAGAGTATTCTCAGAGTGTTTGTGAATACGGTCCCTGGTCTGACCTGAGCAGAGCAGAGCTGTAGCAGTGAGCAGAGTGTATTCAGTCTCCGTCACCCGCAGCGTCACCATGCTGTGGAAGAAGTTAAGCACCGGCCCGAGAAGATCCTCACTGCCTCCTGTTCACACCAGCAAATGGAAAAATGGAAATATCTTTAATTAATTTCTCCCCACAGCCTGTAAGATCTCAGATATTTTTTGAGGGAATGTTTTTCTGAGTTCACCTGAGCTGACCAGTGTCCTGCTGTGGATGTTTTCCCTTGACTCTACATTTCTCAGCCAGTTGTGTGTTGACATACTAAAAATTTGCAGGGCTGATGCTAGAGAAAAAGAAAAGATTTTCAAACTAAATATCAGGCTAAACTTACTGGTATGACCAATAATAGCATGTGTGTTGGCTTACTTGGACTGGGGCTTGTTGTGCTGTGGGAGAACTGCTGAGCTGAGAGCAGGAACATGACCTCCAGTGAAGAGACAGACAAGAGAGAGCACTGGTCGGAAAAATCCAGGAGGTCAAAACCTGTCAGGGGAACATCATTATTTCTTTACAATATGTGCTTATTTGATTATTTCAGGGTTTATATCCTTTAGCCCACTAGACTTTTCATCTTGTAGTTTTTTTATATATATGTAATTAAGCAGAAAGTGTAATTTGTCTGTTTGGAAACCAAAAACAAAACTTGACAAGAGCAGTATTCCTACGGGAGTGTCCTTGGAAGTCTTTATTTATATGTGGTATTATCACCTGTCATGTAATTCCATATGGGTTAAACCATGTGCATCACCTGCCTCATTAAAGGGGCTCTGTACAATATGAAGTAATGGCGTCCTGAGCAGGAAATCAAGTCATGCTCCCTCTGTGTGTTGTAATACAAGCTTCCCTCTGATTTGTTCTAGTAGCTGGTCAAGCTGCACATGCATTTTGAGGCATGTGTGTATCCCACTGGCTTGCTAGGAGTTAGCATTGTTGGCTGCTAGCTGCTGTTTCAGAAACCTCCAAATTGAGAACCATGTGGAGTCAACTCATGCTCTCTGAATTTTGCACAGAGCCCCTTCAAAGTTCCTTTGTAATTTGAGCATATTACCCTTTAATGTAACTCATTACATTTGATTACTTCATGATTACTTTTCTAAAAAATATTTAAACTGGTCAATAAAGCTGAAAAATGTCCAGAAATAACCTATGCTAACAGAAAGCATTCCTGCATGGCGAAAAGATGCAAAGGAGCAGAATTTATATTCTACATGATTTATATTCTACATGTGAACTTTTTTCCTACAAGAATGTATTCTGATGTAACCCCTTTGTAATCACCAACATTTTGATTAGTAACTCTAATTTAATTATATATTTCTTTCACAGTAATGATCACTGATTATGGCAACATTTATTTTGTAATTTAATTACATGTAACTAGTTACTCCCCAACACTGGTCTTACCTGGCACTGTCCTGGCAAACTGTAGCAGTCGTTGCAGGTGGGGGGATACAACATCAGAAAAGCCCTCCCCTTCTTCTGTGCACGGCCACTCAAACAACTGAGCAGACACAGATAAGAAACCATGAGGGCAGCGTAGAGAATGTAGCTGTGTTCTGGGATGTTTCCCCACTGTCACCTACCCTGCAGTGGCTGCTGTCTTGTGCTTTGTACAGTCGATGGGCTTCCACCATCCTGTCCACAATGTATTTCTGTTCTCGGGTTAAACTGGTGGACAAAACCTGGAGCAGATGGAAGTGAAACACAACACAGGGTTAAACCAGTGTCAGGATTATGAGGTCACTTCTCCGTGTTAAAACTACAAGATAGAAAGTGTACTAAAATTAAAAATAAATGTGTGAATTTGACCACCAGAGGGAGAGATGACACTGCTACAAGTTTTTTAATTTTTTTGTCATCATCAACCCAGCTACACAGCTAATCATCTATCCACTCAAACAGTCAAAAACCAAACTACAAAACGACCAACCATCCAACAAAACAACATGTTGACCACATACATTTCTACTCAACCATCACACAAACCAAATTATGTAACAACAAAACAAACAGCCAAAATTAAACCACCCAGTCACACCCTTAAAACAAAAACACCAATATCTCTTAACAAGACTAAGAGTCTACACCGTGGACTCTTATGACACACTAAACTACAGTATGTCATTACGTATGTCATAAAAAATACATAAAAAGTCAAAGTATAGGATGTCATAAAAATGTTATTCAAAGGCTATTTTAAAAAGTCATACTGTGGTATGTCATAAGAATGTCATATCATGTGCCATAAATAATTAAATTAAAAATGTATGTCATAAAAAAGTCATAGTTTACTATGTCATAAGAGTGTCAGGATATACTATGTTATATTAAAAGCACAGAAAAGTCACAAAAAATGTCAAAATATAGTATGCTTAAAAATGTTGTTAAAAGATAGTAGTATGCCATAAAAAATGTCAGATTATAGTATGCCATAAAAAACATCATAAAAAAGTCAGAATATAGTATGCTATTAAAAAATGTTGTAAACATTGTCAGAAAATAGTATGCCATAAAAATGTCAGAAAAAAATGTCAAAATATAGTATGCCATAAAAAATTCATGATAAATGTCAGAATAGTGTATACTATCCATCCATTTTCTAACCGCTTATCCTCTTGAGGGTCGTGGGGTCACCTGACATTGGGTGAGAGGCAGGGTACACCCTGGACAGGTCACCAGACTATTGCAGGGCTGACACATAGTGACAGACGACCATTCACACTCACGTTCACACCTACGGACAATTTAGAGTTATCAATTAACCTGCATGTCTTTGGACTGTGGGATGAGTACCCGGAGAAAACTCACGCTGACACGGGAAAACATGCAAACTCCGCAAAGAAGGGACTCCCACACCGGGGACTGAACCAGGAACACTCTTGCTGTGAGGCAACAGTGCTAACCACCACACCACCCCTAGTGTATACTAGTGTATAAAAAATATCAGAGTAAATATGTGCTGTAAAAATGTCAGAAAATAGTATGCCAATCAATGACAGACTGAGTCAGTCTTGCTTCCTGCTACCTGTCCAGGTATCCTGCTGGTTGAGCTGACCTTCCGACTGTCTGTGTTCTCCTCTTCCTCCTGTCCTCTACCTTTACCTCCTTTCCTTAGTCGTTTGGACTGGCACTGCACCTCCGTCAGAAGGCCTGGAAAAAATAATCTGACCCATGTCAAACCAGCTAAATCAGTTCAATCCATTTTGGTTAAGGAGGTATAGATTACTCCCATCAATACTTTTCTTTAAGTTAGAATTAAAGTACAGTGGAGGTCGCTTACACTCAGCCAGCATTCCCACAGCGCGGCACTTCCTCAGCCGACAGTCTTGGCATTTCCTCCTCATATACATGTCCATTTCACAGCCGCCGCCACTCTTACAGTGATACACAGCCTTTTTAGTCACACTACGCCTAAAAAAACCTACAAATCAACAAGGGGGAAAAACCAGGATAGATTACCTTTCAGAATACTGTTAGGTATTGGAGAAAAGAATAAAAAGATGACATACAACATTGAAAAGTGAGAAATACCTTTGCATCCCTCACAGGTAAGAGCATTGTAGTGATACCCTGATGCTTTATCTCCACACACTACACACAGCTCATCCTGACCTCTGTTTTTCCCTCCCGACCCCACCCGTGTCCTCCGCCCCAGAGGCAGGCCCACCGCTCCAAGCCCCTGTGCTAGGACCCCACAGTGGGTCTCGGGACTGGGGTCACAGGGGGCCTCCAGGCAATGAGGGCTGTAGTGGTACAGAGGATGGCAGGGCTGCGAGGAAGAAGAGGAGGAGGAGGGAGAGGAGGTGCAGGAGGGTGGAGAGCCATAGAGGGAAAAGGGCAGGTTGGCGGGGCTGTACTGTTGTTGGCTGTAAGGGAGCAGCTGGGGGTCAGGGTCCTGTAGGGGGTAGCCCAGAGGGTCAGCCAGCATGTCTGAAACAGAAAAGGACGAAGTCCAGGGACAAAAACTTGTATTAACTATTCTGTAGTTTAAAGATGTAAGTTTAAAAACTAATGAGTGAACTATGTACACAGACGTTAACCACATCAATATGGCTTTCGTAATTTTGTGTTCAGATTTGTGACCCGCTCTACTTCCTGAGCCAAAGCTGCACCTACAAAGAAGTGTGAAACTTTGGAAAAGGATGCAAGCATGAGTGTTAAGACGTTTTGATCTGGCATTCAAATTCAAAGGATTCTACAGCTTTATGAGCCTCTTTACACCTGGTATTAACATGCGTCTTAGTTGATCTGATCCTAAGTGGACAGCTAAGTCTGTCTGTCAACACCTAGCATTAGAATGTGTCTCCACAAGCATCTCGAAAGACCACTTGTGATCGGATTTCACCCCCCCCACTCCATATGCAAATAAACACATACATCTTATAATTTACCATCATTAGGAGACTACAGTTGGTGAGAGTCCACCTGCACACACAGTGACAGGGCTAACTGTTACATCACATGGCTAATGTTACCAAATGTTATGGGTTTAACATTTTGGTGTCAGTGTGAGCTCATTGGGACTGTTTAACGGCTGCTGCTTTGTTAGCTCGTGTAACCCGGCAGATGCTGCACTGACCATTAGCCAGGAAGAGAATGGCTCCGGATAGGGCCCTTCAGCTCTGCATCTAACAGCAACAACAGAAAGTTTTCTTTCACAGTGTTGTGTCAGATAAGATGTCAGCAGAGAGGGCAGTCCTTCAATGTGACCCCAAGACACATTAGTGTACAAACTGCTAAAAAAAAATGTGGCCAATGTGGCCTGGAGCACCTCCAAATGTGGTCTGAACGATCAGATCTCAAGACGTATTGAGGACGTTCATGCCAGTACTTACAGCTGTCCTCTTGCGATCCAATCACCCAAGAAAGATAATCATACCAGGTATAAACAGGGCCCATGTTTTCAGTCAGGCAGTTCTCATGTGCTGTTTATATGTATACCTACAAAAGGTATACATCCCATGCAATCATGAGCCAATCATAATCAAAGTAATTGGGAAGGCTGTGATCACATGATCAGTGCACTGATGGGAGTACAGAAATAAGTGTTCTTGGTCAGGAGGCAGGTTGGGCATATTTGTATGACATCATGGGAACAGTTGGTTCAGCAGGAGCCAGTGCGCTTGAGGCTGAGTGCCAAAGACAGGGATGGGAAGTGGGAAACTGCAGAGAGATGACCAAAGCCATTGTTGGGGTTTGATATTTCCATTGAATTTGCTTAAAATAAGATAAAAAATAGGCTAATACCAACTACATCCTTCAAGAATGAGTGTTTACTTGTGTGGTTGTGTCCAAATTTTGAGTTTGGCCTGGTTTTAATCTTATTTTGGATGTGATCTTTACATGGGGCATGAGAAACTTGCTTTTTAATTTCCCTGTATATATTATATTCTGCAGGTGTCCTTCTTAAAAATCAGATCTGGTCAATACCATAAACAGTTGAAAAACAATAAGCGTCATAGGAAAGAAAAATACGGTGAGAAAAGGTGGATTAGTAAGAACATCAACTTAAGTGAATATTTGAAGCATCACTATTATGCTGTTCCGAAGTCAAAGAGCGTCACAGGAATGTGGTGTTACGTGGCTCGTGTGACTTCACTGCTTTTATGATTCTTGTGGGATATAATAAAAAGCTGAGAGTGAGGCCTTGTGAACTTGCTCAAACAGGATGCAGCTGAGAGCTCCCACTTGCCATTAAGGATTTTTTGATCCCCTTCTGTGGATGTTTCACCCAGTCTGTAATGACCATTCAGTGTTGTGACGGACTAAAACGTCTCTGAGTGTAGATCAGCAGCCTGTGTTTTGCAAGTCCTGTCTCCTTTGAGAAAACATGTGTGACCACTGGCAGACTCTGAAAGAGCAGCTGGACCAGTACGACTGGGACCGCAGTCAGATCTGTTATGCGCTGATTAAACACAGAGCCCACCCAAATGTCAGGAGTCTCAGGACTAATGGACATGGAAATTTAAAGGGTAAAACATGTTCCACAAAGAGGGCTAATATCAATCTGATATGTGGGAAATGCGTTTTCTTTTAAATGGTGGTCGAAGTGTGTCTTTAACTTGGCAGGAAAACTAACCAACTGATTAGTGTAGCTCTGTAGCATTGTCAAAGGAGTACTTCCATAAAGGCTAAACAGATAAACTAAAAATGAATAATGGTCAATAATGGTTAAAGCGGCAAATGTCATGGTATTCTGACTTTTAGTCAAAAGTATGGCTTAAACAGAGATAACCCCTATGACAGTAAATGGACTGCCAGACAGGACGTAAGGTCAGAGGCCTAAGGGCTCTGGGCCTGTGGGCAAGAGCCCTGATTTGAAGTGATTGTTACAAGCTACTGTAGTCACGAGGATAGGGATGTCCTCATCACAGTTTTTCTTCTATCCTGATCCTTTAATATTAAGTATCTGCTGATACAGAGTCTGATCTGAGTATCAGATGAGAACTCTCGTGTATGTGTGCTAAATATGAAGCTAGAGCCAGCAACCAGTCAGCTAACATCAGCTGGACTGGAAAACTGGAAAAATAAAACACATGTTGATTTTACAGATGTGCCTGTGTGTTTTTCTCTTTTTTTAATGAAACAGACAAGATTCGGTGTGTTAATAACTGAGCTTTACAGTTGTTTTTTACCTTTGGAAAAACCTAGGCTGGCTGCTTCCACTTTCTTCCAGTGACCAAAAAGTGTTTTGTTCCTTACAGTCAATGTGCTCCTTAAATTAGAAATTTGTCTTTTTAAAGAAAATGACAACCCATCTATTTGAAGAACAATTAATCATCTAACTTAAATATATAAATAACATATTAAAACAGGATTGTTATGGAACTCAAAATGTTAACTGTACCAGTATTAGTCTATACACATCAGATAATGAGTAATTTTGAATGTGAAATAAGAAACCAAAGTATATCAGTAATTGATTTCCTAACTCTCCATATTGTTTGCTACTTTTCAACTAGCCTATATACCACAACAGCATAAGTCTTTAGTCAAAGAAAACTTTTTTTTCCATTTGTAGTATTATATTTGGGAGAATGGCACTGTTCTGGGGCACATCTCTCTGCCCTTCCATGCGCCTATATAGAACACCTTAAGGCAGAGAGAGGAAACCTCCCTGCCCTTCCATGTGCCTACAGGGAAAACCTAATGCAGGGAGAGCAGCAGCAAAGACCTCCCCGGGAACAGAACAGGGAAGGCATCAATGACAAACAGAAATGCCATTGATAAGTCAGATACAACATGATAAGGAGGAGCTGGGGTGGAGGCGAGCTGCAAAGCGGCTTGCAGAGGAAGCAGCAACAGTAGGCAGGCCAGAGCAGTTTAAATAGGGTGCCCTGAATGAGATCTGTCAATTGGTTGCATAGAAAGGAATGATGTGATTTATCAGCTGACTCCCTTCCATCGATCAGCTGCTCCGTCAGTTGATCAGGCTGTTTGAGACCAGCTGATGTAGCTGGGATGTGAGCTGAAATGGCATCATGTCCTGCCTGAACTAATACTATGCTCAGTTTGTAACTTTTGATTTTAGTGTGCCACCCCAAGAATTTCAGTTGCCCCATTCGGCCAACCCTGTGTAAAATTTTCTGGGGGCCTGCTTCCAGTCTTGTTTGCTAGCTAAGCTAACTGTCTCCTGGCTACAGCTTTATATACAGTGTGCATGACATGAAAGTGGTATCAAACTTCTACTTGCAAACTCTCTGGTCTTGCTTCTGTCTTTGAGTGCCCTCCCTCTCCCTTGTGAAGTGGCAGCATTCTCAGAAAACACATGTCCCCTGCTCATCACCTCATCACTTTTAAAGGGTCGATACATTTCTCACCCTTGTTTTCTCAAGGTGTTAAGACAGACTTTCTCCCTCTTCAAAAAAAAGGTCAAAAGGAAATAGTAAGGGCTGGTACTCCCAATACTTTGACATTGTGACTATTTATTAGTCATCAGTCTTTAACTTTGACTAATTGAAGACTGATGACTAATAATGAATCATCCAGCAGAGTCATCCGTCTGTAAGTTGTGATGACAAGACAGTACATATAGAAAACTGGTGTAGTTGATTGACACCCTTGCTCTTGACACCCTAAATGTCAGAGTCATCATTTTTTAGGGCAATTATTAACCCCTCCTCACTCCTTCCTTTTGTCCTCTCTTTCGTCCTCTCTCCAGATGTTTCCTGTCTTCACCAGACTCCAGCAGCGATGGTTTGGGGGGGGTCCTTGCCTTCACTGTATGTGACAGAGCTGTGGTTCGCAGTGTTTGTAAACCATTTGAACACTGTCTAAACACTCCACAGCCTCCCTTCCATCCCACGCACACTGGGGAGCCAAACAACACCAGCAAACTACCCCCCATAGCTCCCCCTCCTCCCTCTGCTCCTAGGGATAGGAGGGGAGACAACACTGGGAATTTGTTGATGATACGCATCAGTATAAATAGGTCCTCCAATGCACGTTCAGCCTCCCTGCGTGCTGTGAATGCAGCAAGACGGCTGAACCTCCTCAAGAACTATTTTTTTTTCATGTCAGCGAGTTCTCAAAGGCGGTAAATAAACGCTCTCATTCATTCATCAACTGTGAGAGTGAGTGATATGAGGTTGCATTGCACACAGAGTGCAGTCACATCCTCATTGTGTAACATTATAATGTATAAATGACCCACTTACTTGAAAAAGAGACATCGTAACTTTTGTTTAACACAAGTAATGATTACAGGATTAAGTTATAAGTTATAAGTGCATATGTGGTGTTACAGTAGAAGTAGAATAGCAGAAAAGAGCCACAAAATCAGCAGTGGGACTCAGAAATGTCTGCTTTACAGCAATATATACCTAAAGTTTGCTAATGTGAGCTAGCATTAGCCATCATAAGCTACTGGTCATACCAGACCATGTAAAGTTGTAGTTGCAAAACTCCTGAGAGTACTGGATAGAGCAACAGTTAATTTTCATTGCTTATCAATTTAACTGAGCACATAATTATATTTGAGTGATTTGGTGAGGACTGAAGTCACAGCAGTTCAATGGGCCTGTCTACCAACAGTGCCCCCAAAAATTTTCCTTAGGGGAGGCCAGGTGGGGCTGCTGAAAATCTTGGGTTGGCACACCAAAACCAAAAGCCATAACTGAATTTCGGCAATTCGATTACGCTGTTGAGGTACATAGGCTAGTTGAGAACTCTTGCAATATGAGGAATCACATACTGATATACTTTGGTTTCTTATTTTACAGTGAATATTACTACTTATCAAATGTGCATGGACTAAAACCAGTAGAGTTACCTATTTGAATTCAACAACAATCATGTCTTAATGTGTTACATATCTGTATCTATACATGTTAGGGGGTTCATTGTTCTTCAAATAGGCTGGTTGTCTTTTTCCTTACAAAGACAAATATACAGGTTGAATTAAAAGCAGTACAACGATTGTAAGTAACAAAGCATTTAATGGTAACAGGCCTTCCCAAGTTTAGGGGAGACTCCTGGGTACCCAGGGAACCCATTTGAAAATGGCCTGTTGTCCTCTCATCAAAATTTGGCCTAAATTTGGGGCGTTATTTAGCCCCTTTTTTCCGACAAGCTATGCTGACATGGTTGGTACCACCAATGGATGCCATAGGTCAGGGACCATCAACTATATTTGTCCAAGGGCCAGAATTTTTTTAAGCAATTTCTTTTCTTTCTTTTTTTCAAATTATACATTTATGTGGGTGTCTGATTATGTTGTAAAATGGGTGAGCAAACCCAGAAAGATACATAATCGCTGGGGGGTTCTGGGGGTGCTCCCTCAGAAAAAAATAGTAATTCAAACAATTTCCCTGCAGTTCCACATCACCTGCACTAGGGGATGGACTTAACTATTAGGCCCCCAGCTAGGCCCAGACAGTTATAGATCCATCATGATATCTAGATATGAAAAACATTAACTATGTTATTTTTCTAACTCATTGTTCCCCAGAATAACTCACAAAAGGCCCCTAAAGCACTTTTTAAAAAAAAAAAAAAAAAAGCAACTATAACTTCGACTAAAGGGGAAAACATTGTACCACTAGATTTACCTGACACGTCAGTGTTACTGGTTATGTTGCAGATTCAGCTTTTAACTCACAAAATATAGCGATTAAAATATGATACATTAATATTCATCAAATTGCCCATCATTAAAGCTCCACTTTGAACAGACTTTGAATACATTTAAATAGATTATGCTAATAATATCTCCCCTGAACGCAGGACTTTGACTCTAATAGTTTTACTTAAGAAAAATGTTCTGATAACTTCTTCTACAGCTGCCAACAGCCTACCAACACCCAGTTAGAGAGAGGGGGAAAATAAAGCAAGGCCATTTACCTGGGGCCTCGGGCCCTCAATTTGCCTGCGGTAATGATAATAAAAAAGCACAAGCAGCTGGATTAAAGGAGAGACACGCAGCGACATGTTTTCCATTATCATGCAAAGTCTTACTAAAACTAAAACTTAAAGTAGTCTGGCTGAACATTTGACACTCTGGTGCTGTGAGGAAAAACTCTGCTGCCCCGATCAATTCATTAGCTGTGTGATCAGTGATCAGGGTAGTCCAAAAATGTGTTAGTATTTTTATTCAGCCCACTTTTTTTGCCAGTTGCCCAGAACAGTAAAATCATTATTGGTAAGGGCTGCTTCATATCATCACCTGATTGCAGGGCCTGAGCTATCCAATTATCCAATCCACACCATCCAACCAGCAAAATATGGGTTAATCAACCACAATTGTCAGGACCATTGTCAGGAGGATTTAGACACAGGGCGCCACGGTGTGTAGCCTGTGTGTGTGTGTGTGTGTGTGTGTGTGTGAGAGAGAGAGAGAAGACTGAGATGGAGAGAGGAAGAGAAGGTAGGAGGTGAACTACTGCACCCAGTTTTTCTGTACGTACTCAGGGCGCTGCTTTGTCACTTTTTGACAGTTGATATTTTTGTATTTTTCTAGTAGCCTAGGCTTGCAGAGCCATTCCTAATAAAATTATTTCCGTATCAGCTGTTTCGGGGGTTGATTCAATGTTGGAAGAAAAAACACTAGATATCCTAAATACTGACTAGTTTCCCAAAGTACCACTACTTTTGCTACTATCCTCAAGACAGTAATGAGGGGGGGGGGGGGGGGGGGGGGGGGGGGGGGGGTTCTGAGCAATTAAGTCAGGGGAGGCCTAACACTTCTGTGTCACCTTAGAGGGTTGATCCATCCAAATTAGAAAATAACTTAACAATTAAATATACTTTCTGTCTTTACAGTGATAGTATCTCACATTCTACTAAAGAAACAGTCCTTTTAAAAATGGCCAACTGTGTGTTTTGTGGATTACCCACAGTTACAGGGACAATGATGCTAGAAAGAGACTCATAAAGATATAATGTGTCAAAGCCATGGGCATCACAAAAGAAATGTTTTATTATATATTTGTTTATTCCATTCATTGTGTTCGTATGGAGTCTGAAAACTTAGAAGTGAATATCTAAAAAGATATGGACAAATATAACTGCAGCTGTCTGCAGTAAGTGAGAAAATTTGTTTAGTAATTTGAGTGAACCAACTCTTTACAACAGTAGAGAACAAAGTGTGCTGGTTGTTGCTACTGCACATAAGAATTATCTACCTGCCAGTGGAACAAATGACGTTACATCATTTGAATTCATTTACCACTGACTGATAACACTGGAAGTACTTTGCAAATGAAATGTCTCCACTCATTCAGATCACAGAGGACATGAACACTCATGGGTAAATATTCAGTCTATCCTACACTTCCTAGAGTTTAAGAATTTATATGTCACACAACTTGTTTTAGCGAAGCAAAAGAAAAAAAACAGGAGAAGAAGAGAAAGTAAAGCCAAAAAAAGAAAGTCAGAAGACACAGAAGCACAGACAGGAGTGTCACTGTGGACTCACCATAATACTGGAGCTGCTCTGTGGAGCAGTAACCATCCGAGGCGGAGAGAAACCCCCCTGCCGAAAAGCTCATCTCCAACTCAGTCCACTCTCTCATCTGGACAGAAGGTCCTCTCTCCAGCTAGTATTACGGGATCTGTCTTCACACACACATATGCAAAGACATAAACACACACACACACAGACAATTACTCAGAGGATTCACACAGATATGAAGGATCTGGGAAGTGCAGAGACATTCCCCAATCCCCAGGATGCATCCAGGTCTCTTAGCTGTCCAGGCTGATATCCCAGCCTATTTTTAAAAAGCAGAGAGGATGAGTGCAGCTGAGTCTGAGCTGGAGGAGGTCTTAACCGTCCCTGGGGGACAGACGAAAGGGAAAGCGGGGACACCCAGGAAGGACAGAGATGGGACTGTGGTCCAAACAGCTGGACCTGGCCCGGACTTCACAGATCAGAAGGCGGCAGGAATGGATGGATGGATGGATGGATGGATGGATAGATGGATGGATGGATGGATGGAGATTTTATCCCTCATGGGCAGAGTGAGGGACACTTGATACTAATGGGCTGTGCATATGTGTGTGAGTGTGTTGAAGTTTGGGCTGAATGGATCCATCCCAGAGTGCAACAGCTGGGCCAAAGAAACATTTTCTCAATATCAGTCAAATAAAATAATTTCCATCATTGCATCAATGGTTAAAAATTATTTATGAGTGTTTCCTGGAGATGCTGCTTATGAAGCTTGCTATACTTTGTGTGTGTGTGTGTGTGTGTGTGTGTGTGAGCGCGCACACGCGCATATCAGTCCATGTTTGTCCTTCAAGCCTTTGGGAGTGTGTTTACTCTGCCTTTTGTTTACCACTGTTCTGTTTGTGCTGCAGTTAATATTGGACAGCAGTTAGATTTAAGGGGCTCAGAGACCTCCGCCTCCCCCACAGACAGTTAACCAGGCCGGGGCAGAGCAAAAAGAGTCGAGGCGTGAACTGCCCTGAGGAGACAGAGGAGTGACCTCAACACTGGCCTGTAAATCTCCAAGCAGGAACGTTTGACATGCAGCATGCTTACTGAGGATTAACGATGTCCTTCCACCCGCACATCATCCCTTTGCTGGCTCATTATGGGAACCAGGACTGAGCAGTGGATAGCAGAGGGTTAGGGGAGAGCTAGCAATGTTCACTGAAGCTGTAGCCTTCACTGGAGTAATCACGATCGATTGCAGTGACAAATGACACAAAAATTTGGTTGCTGGCTACACGGTGTCTTTCCTTTGAGGTTGTGTCCAGAGGGTAAACTGCTACACACGTGATCACAGTGTTCGAGGACAGCACAGCTTCCAGATAAGTTGTACTTTGGGGAAAAGCACAAACTAAAGGAGAGTTAATTAAGCATGGCACCTAAACTGTTCTAAGTGCAGTGTGCCTACTTCTGATGAACTATTTTTACTCTAGTCATATTAGAATAAAAATAATAACACACTATTTGGTATGAACAACACAAGTACATATAAACTAAATAACAATTATTTATTATTATTCAATAATACAATAATGATTAACTTCTTGAGTATATTGTATAGGCTACTTGTAAGATTGTAAATACTATATGGTGTGTATTACTCATGAGCAGCATTGGGGAGTAACTACTTACATGTAACTGATTTACGTTATCAAATTACAAAATAAATATAATTATTATCTGGTACAGTTACTGGGAAAAAATATGTAGTTAAATCTTACTATATAATGACGAAAACTGTGTGTGTGTGTCTGTTCCACATTTTTCTCCTCACTGACTTGGTCAATCCATGTGAAATTTGGCACAGTGGTAGAGGGTCATGGGAGGATGCTAATGAAGCAATATTACATCAATTGGCCAAAGGGGGGCGCTATAGCAACCGATTGAAATTGCAGACTTTGAATGGGCATATCTCATGCCCCGTATGTCGTAGAGACATGAAACTTTGCACAGAGATGCCTCTCCACATGAGGAACAAATTTGCATCAAGAACCCATAACTTCTGGTTTTATAGATTTTCCGCCATTTTGAATTTTTTGAAAAACACTTCAAATCGATCTCTTCCTAGGAAGTTTGTCCGACCTGCATGAAACTCGGTGAACATAATCTAGGGACCAATATCTAAAGTTCCCTCTTGGCAAAAGTTGGAAAACTTACTAAAACTGAGCTTCTATAAGGCAATGAATATTGCGGAGGGCGTGGCTCATCACATAAAGGTGTATAACATCTCAAGAGTTTCACCACGCAACTTTGTAGGCATATGACCACACATAATCTGAGGGGACCCCTCCATTATTGACCCGATCAAACAAAATGGGGACACTAGAGAGCTAATTTCTTATCTAGGCCTAACCGCCATATTGATTTTTACTAAACTTGGTAGATATGTAGAACAGGACGCCTCAAGGTGACTGGAGAAATTTAACTCTAATTGGCAACTGGGTGGCGCTATAACAACAGAAAAATGCTTAAAAATGGCTAAAATGCGACCGATTGCTGTGGCTCCCCCTGTGGACCAATGTTTTGTTTTTTTTCTAATTTTTGGTATGACTAAGTCATGGTATGGTATGCTGTACATAATCACGGAAACTGTCAGTGTGTCATTCTGTCAGGCAGTCATTCTGTCTGTCCCACGTTTTTCTACTCACTGACGTGGTCAATCTACAGTATGTGAAACTGCACATAGGCATTGAGGATTGGCATAGGTAGAAGGTGACAAAGCTACCAATGGGTATGGACAAGTTACAGTTATTAATCAAAGTGTTGGGGATTACAAATGGGTTACTGGGGTAAAAAGCTTATATGTAAAATATAACATTCTATATTCTTCATTATATTAGACAACTTTCAATAAAAGTAAAAGAATCCAAAGTATGTCACAGGCACTTGGAGACCTTTTCCAAAATCTCTGACTGAAAATACACCTGCTGTAAATACAAGTCCTCTTCTTATATGTTTGAAGACCAGGGAGGCCCTTGCCTACACAGCCACACTGCTGACTACTGTTAAAAGCAAGGGAGGCTTGTTAGCAAAATGGCTCTGACCATAAACAAAGCTCACCCAAGACAACATCCCCACATTTGAACCAGACTAGGTCTAAATTTAGACGTGAACTCAAGATTCAGCAGAGAGACACATTGAAAGACGGCGTCCTCACGCCATGTCCACCAAACACCCACCAGGCAAGCAGAGGTCTGAGCAAACAACAAAGCATGTACACTTGCCACCCATCTCCAATAGCTTTTGGCAAACACAATATCAGACCCAGTTCAGGCAACACCTACCTCAAAGTTCAGCTCAACACAGGCTGCCCTAACGCTACGAAGAGCTCACCAAAAAATTTAGCATCAGAATACATTAAAAGTTGAGGTCCTTTTACAATCTCCAACACCTACAAACACCATTTATAATTAGATTGCTCGTTTGGGTTTACCACGGGTGCTGTTGTTCGAAACCTAGATAAGGGATTAAGCTGGGATATGTTGGTTATCCTGGCTTAATTTAGCGTTGATTCGGTTGTTCGAAAGCAGAGGCACATATGTTGCCATGGATATTTATTCTGTGCACTTAGCCTGGTCTCGAGGTGTGGGACATTTAATCACCTGTGTGCCTTAAATAACTGGAGAACTGATGCCCCCTTCTTGGTGGGGCAGTCTGCAAGCTGTTCTTTTGTGTTATACCACAGAACTCTTTCCATCTTTTGGGTTTGAGTAAGTTATTTGATGCTGCTTACTTCCAGATAAAGTCTTTTCTCAGTGACAGACTTTATGGACTTGAGTGCATCAACCAGCAGTGATGCAGATTATTGGTGTAGCATGTTCAGCATCACCAGCTGTTAGCTTAGAGAAGAGTATAGCCAGGAAGTTAGCTTTATCAATTCCATCAGACATGGCCAATGTTTCACCAGCAGGTGTGCGCCACACAATTCTCTTGATTCTCTTTGACTGCCATGACAGAGGGGAGAACTTTTCATTTTCTCCCATTAAAACAATGAGTTGTCCTCCCTGTGCACCACCATCTGAAAGATTTCCAAATGAGGCATCACTGAATACAGTCACCCTCAGAGCACTGTCTCTGCCCAAGTATTGGAAGTTTAGAACTAGCCTCTTGGACTTTAGTTTGCATACTATTCCATGTGCTCTGTAAACAGCCTGCACAGTTGCATTTTTTATGCCAGATGCCAAGTTGTTAGCATCAAACATGATACCTGGCCTGCTCTGTCTTGCAACCCACAGAGTCTGGCCTATCTTAGACCTGAGTTGATCCCTTTCCTTCTCACAGAGAGGTGATTTTTGCTCCACAGCTCATGAAGGGATCCCTATGTATGGGCTGCATGTGCTGAATGCAGTTTTGCTGCTGTACTTGCACTTTTCTGCCAACAGTCACAAAGTCAATATCTGGGGCCTGTTGTTCGAAAGTAGAATTAACCAATCCAGGATAAGTGGAAAAGCGAGGCTGGACAAATTCCCCTAATTCCATCCTGGCTTAATTGGTTGTTCGAACACCAAGCCAGGCTGAGGAGGCGTGGCTTTGTCGAGCCAGGTGTAACTTATTCAGGTGAGTGCGCGTCCACGGCTTTCTTAAATAGACCCCGAGATCGATCACAGATTCACCGATGCAGCCAACCAAGGCAGGCTGATGATGGAGGACGGAGGGGGGGAAACTCCCTATACTGTACATGGAATCAATCATTTTATTCATTCATTAATCAACCATTGGTGTTATGTGGACTGTCTGACTTTGGATTGTCTTGCAGTGTAATACAAATTGACAAATTAAAAGAAAAACCTTAAGGAAACTGGACTTAGAAATTAAGAAACTAGAGAAAGAAGTGATTTTAATGCACATTGTAAGTATGACGCAATTAATCAATGTTATTTCTCTCTTTCTCTCCACAGCTCAAAGCAGAAAGTGACTGATTACAGCATGTTTCATTTAAATAAAATGAGTTATTGGTCCACTTAACTGGGAATATAATTTGGGAAGGTCCTACAGTTATGATACCTAATAACCACTAATTGTGTTAATGCCAAATACACCTACTTGTATGTTTATTCCAACAATTAATCCTTTTATTGGTAAAGATATGTGCATGTCAAAGTATGTTTGGGCTATGAC